GAGAGAGAGAGAGAGAGAGAGAGAGAGAGAGGAAGAAAGCTTTCAAAAGGCATCCCTTTATGCAAGATTGAGGTTTCAGAATGGTTCTTTCTGTCCAGGTGTGGTGGCACACACCTGTAATCCCAGAACTCAGGAGGCTGAAGCAGGAGGATCGGCACAAGGGAGGCGAGCCTGGGCTACATAATGAGTTCAAGGCCAGCCTGATATATATAGTGAGACCCTGTCTCAAATGGACGCGGATTCCTTTGCAGGCCAATGTTTTAACCACCGTACCTCATGCCTTCCTCTGAGCCATGCAGTCTTTGAGAAGACCCTAAGCCCTTCCAGCCTTGTCTTCCCTTTCAGCCACTTTCTTTCCTCCAAGGAAAGAGCAGCATGTATGCCTCCACTGGCAGAGTTGCTGCTGGAATGAGCTCCCTCACGCTGAAAGGTCCTACTTCTGCTCTTAGCAAGTTCTTAACAGATACTAGGCTGACCCCTACTATGTGCCAGGCAGAGTACAAGTGCAAGGAGGGAAGAAAACTCTGTCTCAGGTGCAGCGAGCTTCTTGGAGCAGCGCGCCCAGCCCTGCCTTGCAGTGACGTCCTCCCTAATGCAAGGCACATGGGCGTGACTGGCAGTTGTGAAACTCCTCCCTGACTTTTATGCCCCTCACACCCTGAAACTCCGTCTTGGCATTTTTCAGTAGAAATAATATGCTCATAAAAACTGCAAGGGTACTTTACCTAGAAAGTTCTGGGCTGCCCTGTGCTTGGAGTGGTGCTGAGCTGCAGCCGATCTGGGGCCGATTTCACCCTGCGCCTCGGGAGTCCTCCTCTCTACCATCCCTCCCCACTGCCCCTGCCCTCTCTCTTTCTGGTGTGACCCTCCTCTACCTTTCTCTCGATTTCTGCTGGCCCTGGAAAGCTCCAGATTGGGGAGGACAGTGTGCGGGCTTGGGAGGGAAGAGGGAGAAAAGAGGCGCCATGCCAAATTGGGTTCCATTCCATTTCAAGGCTGTGCCCTATTAAAACATGTTACCTCTTCTGCTGCTTGCTGGTCCCGCAAGGCAATCCCATTCCTAATGAGTTTGGTAAAAAAGCCATTCAGTTCCTCTCGGTTCTTATTGGGTAGAATCCGGGCCAGTGGGACCATTATGGATGGAAACGATACTTAAAAGAGAAAAACAAAAGTGCATTGCAAAGAGGGCGACAATAAACCACGGCTATTAGACTCCTGTCACCAGAAGCAAGTGTCACCTGGAGCTGAGTCAACGGGAGGGCCTGGCCTGACCCCTGGGTTCGCTCCTAGAGCTGAGGTCACGGCCTGTGGCATCTCTGCCCCTCCAACCACTACCTGCATATAGTAAGCACTCAGTAAACATCTGCGGTTAACTGAGCCCCTCCCCTAGCTGGGACTCAGTGGGCCATCTCAGGCTTTAGATGTAGGTCACAGTCCCGATTCGAGACACCAGGTCACTGTTTCATCAAGAGTGGACGCACTGCAGGTAGGGTCTCACGGCTTAGCGGGGGCCAGAAGCTCCCTTATTGCCTAACTTTCCAGCCATTTGCATTTTCTTTTATTTTTCTAACATTTTCATATTTTATTGGTACATTTTAGGTATACAATATAATGACATTCATCATTGGAAATTTGTACCTTTACATACTCTCTTGGTTCTTACATTTCCCCCCTTCCCCTGCCCTCCCTTCCACCCCTCCATCCCTCCTTATTTACAAAGACTTTGTTTCCATTTTCTCGTATTAATTCCATGCATTTTCTTTCTCTGGATAGTTGTCCCCAGAGCAGTCACCTGTGCTGTCCCTGAAAGCCACCATGATCTCCCTGCGTGCCTCGTGTAGCCTGGGCCCTGTGTCCTTGGGGGTCTGTGTGTCAGGCTCATTTAATCCCCCAGGAGAGAGGTGCTGGCCAGAGCTCCCCAGAGCGGCCCTGGGGTGGGGTGTGAGGGCTGGAGGAGAGGGTGCTTGACCCCCACAGTGACCTCTCCTCCAATTTCAGTGTGGAGCTGACAGAGGCGACAGGAGACCCCACTGAAAGTGACTCAGAAATGGGGACAAAATTGGTTGAGGAGTGAACAGAACTGAGCAGCTCAGCAGAATGGCTGGAAATCACGGCACTCATCAGTAACAATAATTGCATCACTCTGATGCTTCCATAAAAGCAAGAAGATGCTAGAATTGGCCAGAGGCAAAAACTCCCTTGTAAAATAAAAATAAAATCAATGGTCCAGTCTCCACAGCATCAGGTCACCCAGCCCATGACCTCTAGTTTATTACAGCGTGGCTTCTGGTGGAAAGAATTTTTTGCAGGGGAGAAAAATGCTCCAGAAAGTGAAAGGCTTTGGATTCTAGTCTTAGCTCTGCCTTTCCAAGCTTCAGTTTTCTCATCTGAAAATGGGGACAAGAACATTTTGTTGTTGTTTTGAGACAGGGTCTCTCTCTATAGGTCAGACTGGCCTTGAACTCACAGTTATCCTCCTGCCTCAGCCTCCCAAGTTCTGGGATTACAAGCCTGTACCACCACACCCGGCTAAGAACACTTTTGTTATGGGGTGAAGCCAGGACTAGCTGAAGTGATACATGCACAGCATGGTTTGTCACTTGTGGTTCTCATGGTGACAGAAGCAGAGGGTCCTAGTGTTGGAGATAAGAGACACCAGGCATAGGAAGAAAACCCTGGTGACTGCAGGAAGGCAGAGTCTCTGGAGGCCAACTCTCAGAGATCCCTAAGGTCCTTTCTTGGTGGAGGGAATGGAGCCAGGAAAGCTGTCCCAGTTCAGAGGTGCAGGGTCTGCAGCTAGCAGGGGCAAGTGTTGTACTTACAGATTAGGACCAGAAGGGAACTGGGGATGCTGAAGGCAAAGAAGCGCCTGCAGTGCAGCACGAAGGGGTCCTCAGGAGTTTCCTGTGAGTCCACCTGGGTGCCGAAGGCGACACTGGCCACCACGTCAGTGGTGTACGCACAGTAGCACCTACAGAGATGGGGATGCTTGAGGTTTGAAGGGCACTAGCCTTGGCTACCCACAACGCACCCTTCCTGACAAAGCCAGGCGCCCCTGGCCCCCTGAGGAGCTTCCTGCAGCTCTGCGTGAGGTGGTGAGAGAGAAGCTTCAGGCTGAGCAGCAATGGAAGACTATGGGAAGAGACAGGCACTCGGAGGCTGAGGCAGGAGGACTGCCATGAGTTCGAGGCCAGCTTGGGTTTCATAGTGAGCTCAAGAGCAGCCTGAACTACATAGTTTTGAGACCCTGTCTCAAAGGACAAAATAAAAGTATACGGGAAGGGGTGGAAGCCACAGAACAGAGACTCTTACAGGGCATCAATTCCTCAGCCCTCAGGCTTCTGGTGGCCTTAGGCTGAAAAGCAAATATCAAGAAGCACACTGTACACTGTTCTTCTGTGAGGGAGGGGAAAAAAGAGACACAAAGGCTCTGGGTATTACCCCAAAGCTGCGCATAGGAAGCCCACCTCAGGCCAGAATCTATTGATTCATTGACATCCATCACACTGGCATTGATGAATGAACCAGCTGATTATCTAGTTTTATTAGCTCCTCGTGATTTTACAGTTTTTAAAAAGAGCAACAAACAAAATAAACAAGGCTCTTCACACTCAAATAAATACCAGACAAGCTTTTCGACAGGCATCGTGATCAGATGTATATTATTACAGCAACACACACTGCACTTTAGAAACAAATACAAGGAAAAGTATTGGCAGTAGTGCCAGAACACTTAATCTCTTTGGCTATAGGAAGCCTATCCCATAAGAAGCTGTTTTAGACTACAATTATTCTTTTTGGTTTTCTTACAAAATAGTCAGATGAAGCTCTTTTAAAGAAGGCTAACAACTGGGGTGTTAATATCCTTTTATAATTACAAGGTCTATTTTTGTCCTTAATGCGGGCACACGTTTAGCTCATTTCTACACCAGTGCCACAGCCACCAGTTTATCATTAAGGAACAAATGACATTTGCAGATGACTTTTAAAGTTTGGGCTTCTTTTATTGAAAACACTTCTACAATTGGCCATACGTTTCCTTGCCATGGTAAAAACAAAAACAAGGCTGCTGAATGTGAGTTTTTCTAATGGTTGAAGACTTCAGGATTTGCAGTTATTTACTTGGCTTTTGTAGCCAACAAGGCCGCCTTCTCTTTAGCCAACCCATGCACTCTGCAATCAGAGCGCGGACGAGAAGGCTTGGTCAACAATGTGGTGCTATATAAATGCTGGCAATGATTATGCTATTACTTTATTAGCCATGGTGCTTAAGGGTCAATTTCCGGCTGATCTAACCTCCCCATCCTATTCATTCCTAAGTTGCCATGAGCCATGTTTGGCATAAAATAGCTAAGTGTTTCTAGGAGAAAAGCCAGATAATCAGTCATTCCAACTTGGTGTCCACCCTAGCTGTGGCTTGTATACAGAGGTGCCCCATGATTTTCCTAGATGTGAAAACACAGGACGTTTCCCGGGTCCCTGTCCTTTGGCCCAGGCTTGTCCTGTCCATTATGAGGCTGTGCAGGTGGGAGGTCAAGTCCACCCACAGATAACCGCTGCCTAACTCAGGCTTTCCTCAGCAGGCCACACAGCCCTGGGCTTTGGCCACATCCGTTGTCCATTTTAAGTGAATCTCCCTTCTCATTAGTCAACCCTTCCATGCTTTTATGAGATCCTAGCATTCCTACAGCTTGCTGGGCCCAAGGAAATTGTCCAGCAATTATGTGCTGTTACAAAAAGCAGCTGTTCCAAGCTGCGACTTCACATCTCTAAGGCAGGGCCTTACCTCTGGATGTTGCACGGGTCCCCTGATTCTGCACAGCGTCTTAAATGAGCCAGGAGAAGGTCGCAGGCTTGGTTGATGAGGGGCATCATCTGATAATGGATAACAAAGGAGTAATTAGAGCGCCAAGCAGGGAGGGTGTCTAATTTGGCTGTATTCAGTGATTTCTGTAAAAAAAAAAAAAAAAAAAGGACTTTTTTGAGAGCACCTTTCCCACAGCTAAGACTAAGGAGGAAGTCCTAAAACTGACAGATATTTGTGAAATATAATAGCTGTAAACATCTATTTTACCTTAATATTTTTTGAAGGGTGAGCAAAAACGAAAGGATTTCAAGTAAAAATGGTGAAATAATTATGAAAGTGATTATTAGGTACTAACACAGAACCGAGAATCCACTCAGTCTCATGATGAATGCTTAGCATTAGAATAAATAGACCACACTCCAAATGCCCTGTTTCTGGAGTTAACCCAAGTCCACGTTGTGCCAATTATACTTTGGATCTTCCACAAAAACAGAATCTTCGTATCCAAAGGAACATAAGGTCATCCATTTCAGCTTCTTAATTAACCCAGGAATTATATTTAGAGCATGCCTGATGGATGGTTATTCATTTGTGCTTAAGCTGCCTGAACCTTTGAGTACTGGATAACTCGACCTCAAGAAAGCGCCTATCCTGTGCATGACAATTGTTGGTTTCTTTTTTAACATATTAAGATATTTATATTATGGAAAATTTTGAACATAGAGAGAATGATGTAATGAATATTCATGCAACCATTACTCAGGTCAACAAATTTAGGCCTCGTTTTTGGCTACCTGTCACTTTGCTGCAGTGGGTGACCCCCATGTGACTTTTTATTCTCTTCTGAGTGTGGCCAAGCTGGAAGTGTGGAGGAGAATCATGGTAAACAATGCACAGTCTAGAACAGCCCCTTGGTTCGAGCAATGTATTGTCAGGCATTTTTCTGAGCATCTCTTACAGAAAACATTTTGAAACGTTACCATATGTTTAGATTTACTATTTTGACACCAGAATATTACTTTCCTGAGTAGAGGGGAGGTTTTTGTGCATTCATTTTTGTATCTCCAGAACCTAAAATAGTACCTGGCACATAGTAGTTACTTGTGAAATAAATGAGTGAGTTTTACTGATGACACAATACCTACTTTTTTATTTTAAAACCTTGAGGCATTGGGAAAAATGCTATAAAATATGAATCTTCTTGTCAGAATGTATGTTAATTTTATCAGAAGCAAAATCTGGTCCTTGTGCTGTTACTTGGGTTTTCAGTGTCCTCCAAGGTACATGTGGTAAAGACTGGCTGAGGGGGCACTACTGAGAGGTATGGGGCCTTCGATGGGTGTGGCTTAGTGGAAGGTCTTTAGGTCGTTGAGGTTGTAGCCTTTAAGGGATGTGGACCCAGCTCTCTTTCCCATTCTCTCTTTCAATTTAGCCACAAAAGAAGCAGACTCACTTTGTCACATGCTGCTGCCCTGATGGGCTGCTACAGGCTCCAAACAGTGGGTGCAACCAATCACTGATTGTGAGCCAAAGTAAACCTTTTTTCTTTATAGGTTGACTATTGCAGGCATTGTATGTTATAGTGACAGAAAGCTAACACCCCCTCCAACAATTTCTTGTTTCATTTCTGTCCACTTCCCTGTGACAGTGCCCCAGCAATATCCATCTCTACAAGACAACTGTCTTCCATCCCTGCAGCAGCTTCTCTGACCACATGGTTTACACAACTCTATTCTTACGGCTCCTTTATTTTTTAATCAGTCACTCTTAAAAGGCAGCCGCAAAAATAGAACACAGTACTATTTCAGGTGCAGTGCAGTAAATGGTAAATGAATCATTTCCTGTGAGCTGGACCCTGCAGGGCAGGTTTATGTTGACTTTTTCCAGAAGACACATAACACAGGTGAACATGGTTCAGGTCAGTCAATGAAAACAACAGGGTCTTTTCCCATGAATCATAACCGTGTGCAATTGATTTTTTTTTTTTTTTACCCTTTAGGGTCCATTTACTAGAAAGGCTCCACATTTACATTGCATTTACTTCTGTAAAAACAGCTGCCAGCCCTGTGTTCTGAGCAGAACGATCTCTAACCCGCCCTAGAACCTTCTGGTGATTGGAAAGCTGGGCAGAGGGGAACAGTTTGGGAGGCTGTGGGTGGGATGTGGGGGACCTGTGGCTTTGCTGGACCACTCCCTTCCACATTCCCTGTAAGCCAGCCCTGAGGGCTCTGTGGTGTAAGGAAAGACTTGTGTCCCAGGAGCCCCATTAACCGCTCTGCCTGGGGACATGTGTGGACCGCAGGGCATTGGCTGATTCCTCCTTGTCTGTCTCAAAGGTGGTAAGTGTGCCTTCCAAGTCTTCATTCAGATCATGGCTGTGTGGACAGGGTCAAATGCAGACGGCTAGCTATATTAGGTACCTGCAGGGATTTCATCATCCCTTGGTCAGCCATGCAAGAACCTAAATAAATACTCAGCCAGGCACCATCTGGCGGGGAAGACCTTGTCAGGTGAAGCAGAAATGCAGGGTACCTCTACTCCCTGTCCTGAATCCCACTCAAGAAAGAAATGAGCCAGGCATGGTGGTGCACACCTGTAATCTCTGCCCTTTGGAAGGCTGAGTCAGAGGATAGCAAGTTTGAGCCCAGGCTGGGCAACTCAATGACTTAGACCCTGTCTCAAAGTGAAAAATTAAACAGTAGGGCTGTGATGTAGCTCAGGATAAAGGCCTTGGGTTCAACCCTCAAACCAGAAAGAAAGAAAAAGAAGGGAAGAAAGAAGAGAAAAGAAGAGATGGAAAAGATAAAGGAAAAAGGAAGGAAGAAAAGAAAACAGAAAGGAGCATAACAGTTCTGATTTATTCTTAGTAACTGTGTTGACTTTTCATGACTACTGGATTCTTTTCTAAATTCTTACAAACCATCAATAATGTTCCAATAAAGATGTACATCTACATAGGTCCCTTCAAATGGCCCCTGGGCCATCATTTCCAAAAAATCTCAGGCTTCTTTAATGGTCACCAAACTCAGTCCTCAAAGTCACATTTCAATTTTTTTCTTTTTTCTTTTTTGGTACCGGGGATCAAACTCAGGACCTTGTGCTTTCAAGGCAGGCAGCAGCACCCTTGAGCTAAATCCCTAGCCCTCAAAGTCACATTTCTATGACTGGTGTCATTAGCAAAATTCCTCCAATTATTTAAATAAGCTTAATGGTGCAAGTGAACCCTGTTTTAATAAAACCTCAGATACCCAAATATCTTTCATAAGAATAGTAAGATGTTAAAAGAGCAAAACAACAAAAATACTAAAAGGAAGCTGGGTGTGGTGGCACACATGTGTAATCCCAGCACACTGGAGGCTGAAGCAGGAGGATCTCTGTGAGTTCGAGGCCACCCAGGGTTGCATAGGGAGTTTAAAGGCAGCCTGAGCTACATCTTTAAAAAAAATGAAAATACTGAAGGAAGTCTCTTAGATGTTAAGCTTGAAGCTTCCTAAGGTAACAAAAGGTGCAGTAAGAAATTTGATTTCTGTAAGACTCCCCAGAAACATGTCTTGTGTATTAAGAGATTGACTCGCTCTGAAGCCAAGTGAAGACCTGGACAACACAGAGGGAGTGGACCAGCTTCTGACCACTGGCTCCTCCATGTGCTTCTGACTAGAAAGCTTTGTTACTGCCTGATGTGATCACAATTTTCTCCTCTCCTCTGCCTGCTGTTTGTCGAACTGAATGGATAATGACATTTTTATTTGGGCTAATGTGATATGAGATGGGGCATGAAATATGAAAGATGTTTTAAGAAGCAATGTGGAGAACATATCATAAGACAGCAGAGCATGATCTGTGTGCTGGCTAGTAGCCATTATTTCAGATTTTCTTTCTTGCCTTATAGCAGATCTGGAATATGTACTCTCACATGAGTGGCATACAAACAGAAGCTCTCTGAGATGGGCTTGGATAGTCTTTACACAAACCTGGCCATTCTTTCCTGTTTTTGTACAAACGCACACGCTCTGGTTACTACACAGTGCTGCCAACACTCAGACCTTAATCGTGAGACTTTAATTTGGTTGTTACCTTTCATTTTGTAGGGTGATGAGTGATTTTTTTTTTTTTTATGGTACTGGCGATTCAACACAGGGCCTTCAAATTAAGCTGCATCTCCAGCCCTATTCTAATATTTATTTTAAGACAGGGTCTCACTAAGTTGCTAAGTTGCCCAGGCTGGGCTTGAACTTGTGTCCCCTTGCCTCTGCCTCCCTGGGTGCTGGGATTAGAGGTATGTGCCATCACATCCGCCCTGATGAGTGATTTTTCTTTTATCACAGATTTTTCATAACATTTATTGTTCTTATTACCACATAATCTAGTAATAGTAATAGACATTTCAAAATGATTTCTTGGGGGTTGATAAAGAATGTGTGTTTCTGTCCCTCCCTAAATTCATATGTTGTTGTTCTAACTCCTAGTGTAGCTGTATTTGGAGACAGGGCTTCTCAGGAAGTCATTAAAGTTAAATGAGGTCTTAAGTGTAGGGCCCTGATCTGAGAGGATTAGTGTCCTTATAAGAGGTACCAGAGTGTTCTCTCTGTCTGTCTTTTTTTCTCTCTTGTCCTCTCTCTCTTGTTCTCTCTTCTTTCCCTTCCCACACACAAATAATAGGTCACAGGAGCACACAGCAAGATGGTGGCCACCTATAACACAGGAAAGAGAGGCCTCACTAGAAACTAACCATGCTGGCACCTTATCTCCAACTTTGAGGCTCCAAATCTGGCTGTACCTCCCAATCTGTGGCATTGTGCCATGGCAGTGCGAGTTGACCAAGACTGGGGTTACAGTCCAGCAGCCAAGCCTGGGGAGACGTCTTCATTTTGTTTCTCTTGCCTCTGTCCTTAGCTGTCTCCATTGGAGGCAATGCTACATGGATGGCTGGGCAGTTATTTGGCAACTAACAGTAACTACTGAGGATAAGCACCACCTCAGCCTTGGAAGGAAATTCCCATTTAACTTGGACTTTGTTATATAATTTAAGTACCCAGTTTTAAAAAATGCCTCTATCAATTGTGGTGAG